CCCTCCCTCTCTCTTTCTCGATCCGTCTTTTTCTCTTTCTGTCTCCTTACTCTCTCTCTCTCTCCCCCTCTCTCTCTCCCTTATTGTGAGAGTGTGATCAGTGGTTCACCACTGTGCACTGCCGTTGTGTGTGAGGCTGTGCAGCCAGTGGGGAGTCAGTGATTGCAGGAAAAGGCGCTCGTGCCTGTGCTGGCTTCCTCAGAGACCCAGTTGACAGTGTGGAGCGATGCGCAGCCTGCCGGCTTCAGGAAGAGGCAGCACGGGTTGCCTTTTAACTTGGGAGAGAATTTCCTGCTCATATTGAAGAACCTTTCTACCTGGAATCAAGAGAGGAAAAGGAGAAAAATGAAACTGATTTAAATCTGTTACAAACCCTTCGAGACAAAGGGTTGAGATCTGAAGTAGAGATATTTGTTTCACTTAGTTTGACTGGCAAATGTTACAACTCGGAGAGAACAACCACAGACACGGCCGTTAACCCCGCTCTTACCTGACATGAGAAGGAGAGAGACTGTCTCGGCGCTGGAATAAAAGAGTTACCTGTGATGTCAGACTTCACCTGAGGCTATCGTCTGAGACTCTGCTGAGTAGCTGGGGTTTCATCTGGGGGAGAGGGGGAGGTAGCTTCAGGAGCTGGCGTCATTTCAGGTGTGTAAACCACACCAGACTTGACTCACCTGACATCATCATCCCCCCTCTCTCTCTCCGTCTCTTTGGGCTCGGTTCCTTGACGCATTTCCTTGCCTACTCTTCTCGGTAATCTCTGCTCTTCTCTTGTTTTCTTCCCATGGATCCACTCAAGAGACGTGAAAAGAGACGTTGATTGTTACTTTGGCAGCCTGAGTCCTGTTCCTCAGTACTAGAAACAGAAAGCCTAACAGCGGTAACAGCGGTAATACTGTGTTAAAGAAGAGGAGCACCATGTGGAGTCAGTCTGGATACTGCAATCACATACCTCATGCTGGATATCCTTTCTACGATGTGCCCTGCAGGTAATTTATCTCAACTTGTACCGGCACTCAGTTTCTGTTTTCTCTGTGGTTACAGTGTTCTGTTACTTTAAGCTCTGGCTGTGTCTTAGCTGTCATTATTTTTGACCTTGAAGAAAACACTGTATTTACCATTCCTGAGAATGACATCGTTATAACTACTGGGACCTGTCGTGGGCGTTTGAAATGCATTTGTAGCTGTTGTGTTTGGATTAGTAAAATAATTATACTAATTGTTTCTTGAGGTAATCTAGTTCAGTGCATCTCTCTTGTACCTGTCTGTGGACTTAGTGTTTCCTAAAGCCAGAGTGTAAACAGACCTGTTTCTCTGGAATGTTGTTGTAACCGAACCAGGAAACTGGTTAAACTTGTGCAGAAGAATGGTGGCTATGTTTGCAAGTGTGAGATGAATGGGATCCTGTTGTTGACCCGTCTGTTCTATCACAAAATTACCATAACTTATTTTTATTTCGTTCATTCTGAAACTCACTGGTTTCAAAGTGATCTTATGTAAGATTTTACCATTTTGTTTCTGCCTCAACTCCCGTGGCAGTAATGACATCATTACATTTATCAAAAGCTTTCAAATGTGACCCACTCTCAGATTAACAACATCAATCCTCCATCCCTGAGGGGAGAACACACACCTACCTACACCTCCGAGCCTGCTATAGACTGTAATAATGTCTAATCTCTGCTGCCGCTGCTGGATCTCCGGCACCAGAAGACTGAATCACCCGAACTAGTTAGAGCATTTATAGCTGTATGGCCTAGCATAATGAAAAGATTATGAAAATTAACACCTGCAGAAATGATAGTCATGATATCTGGAGGCAACAGGCTTGGGACCACTGTTTGTCTTTATGGACTGGGGGCTTCTGTGGCTCTGCCTGTCTTGGTTCTCACCAGCAGCACGGGCTGTGAGTCGTCAGCACCAGGGGAAAAAGAGAGGGATTTAGCTGATGAGTGAGTCATACCTCAGACCACTGCGCAGGTCAGTGACCTGTCAGATCAGCCAGAAAAGTGAGAAAGTGTACTGAGGGAACACACAGGAATCCAGGAAGTAGCCCTGAGCTATGAAACAAATAACGGCACTGCTGCGTATTCACTCCCACTCTAGTCTCTCATGGTGAAGTACTCTGACTCACACTGTTGGACCTGAAGCCCAATCATGTCATAATAATCACAAACCTGTACTACATCAAATAATAATATGCACAGCATCATTTAAAAAAGGGCCAAAAATAGCAAGAAACGTGGGAGGTCATTTTAATTGGACATTGTAAATAGACAGAGAATGAAATTTGTTTGCTGCATTTAACCAATATCTGGGGAGATTTATTTCTTATTAGTCAACTCACAACAACCTACAGCCAGGATGGGATTCAAACCTACATATATATATAGTCTGTATCAAACCCTATCCTTTTACGATTTATTCTCTGACCAGGAATCAAGGCCCAGCCTCGGCAGTAAAAGTGTCTAAACTGAACTACTAGACCACCAACAGATGTTGTTAATGACCCAATGAAAACATTTTCAAAAATGTTGGTGCACCTTCTATAAATTCAGTTAACCTGACATCTGTACTTTGGTAATGCTGCAGAACAAAACGGTTTATCAGGCAACACTCTACAATTCAGTTTATTTTTTAAAACATGCAGTAATCTGGACTCATCTGACCACGGAACACAGCCTTAGTCTTGTGGGTCCATCTCAGGTGACCTCATTCCAGGCAGAGTCTGATTTATCTATGACTTCTTCTTTTGAATCAGTCCCTGAAAGCATTTTTTGATGCAGTACTTGGCTGTAATGAAGGACCCATTACATCCATTACAGTAGCGTAGTTGTTTAGTCTGATGCAGCGGTGCCCACATTTTTTTGGCTCAGGAGCTAATTATGAAATGAGCAGTGGACAGAACATTACCTTAAGTACTTCAGGTATCTTTGTTTATGAAGTCTTTGGTTGGTGCTCCTTTCATACTATAACAGTCTTCAAAGAACCTCTGTGAATGTTTATGTTTATTGCAAGTATATATTTCTAGTCTGTTCAACAAATTGAATTAAGTTTTCACTATTATAACTCAAAAGTACCTTTGTCTTTGTTGACTTTTTAGTATTTTTAAGTGTAATGACTGTTGAAATTCGGTTATTTCTGCTTCAGAAAACAAAAATCACTTCATGCCTCTTAACTCATATTTTCGTCTATTTACATACACATTGCAGCAGAATGTTCCAAAATGTATTAAAAATGGTGAAATTTCGATTACACAGACAAGGGGGAATAATAAAGGCCTTATTACGGGTTTTTGGATCACACCTGAAGATCTCTGATTTTCTCCAGATACGCCTTCAGCATAACTTAATAAATGCATTTAATATAAGATGACAGAGTTCATTTTTACATTGCTGCCTGTGTGAAAAAAAAAGCCCAAGAATGACAACGTGACATACAAGAGAAAAAACACCGACAGTATCACAGAGAATACAAAAGCTCAGTGATCCCCTGCGATGGCAGCTCAGGTTAATGATTCCCTCACATGTCAACAGACACGCTATTGACACCCAGACTCTGCCTTCATTCTCCGGCTGAATAAAACAGCGTGTGTACGTTTGAATGACGACACCTTCATTTGCTGTTTGAGGAAGTTCCGTAGCTAAGATCCACTGTTTGGTCCACTAATCTAGTATAATCCAGCATCGTCAGCCGGAACAGTAACACGAGGTGAGAGCGAAATCCTAATGAGGTCCAGTGTCTGTGTCACATTGTTGATAGAACTGTGTGTCTGTGTGTGTTGTTTTTCGAGTGTTTGAACGTTTTAAAGAATGATGTGTTGTTAATGAATTTTACTGGAGACTAGATCGGAGGTTTTGCTGTCACATTCTGAAAGATATCCATCAACTGAAGTCATTTTCACACCTTCATCATAGACACTATGTCTTTTTTAATATGCTATTTAATTGATAAAGATGATATAACCTTACACTGAGATGGTCACTAGTTTGCAGGTTTTATCCCTTGTCCTAGTGACATGACATGCAGCGCTAACTTGACCACAGTTATGTTCATGAGCATGAACTCATGTGATGTGATTAAAATGTTTTTAATCTGAGCTTTTTGTCAGTTGACCTCACTTAGTTTTTTTTGTTTGTTTTCAGTGATGGTTTTTCTAGTTGGATTTATGAGTGCTTGATGCAGGGACAGGTTTGGAATCATAACTTGGGGCAGAACTAAAACATTACATTCCTTGCATGGATGAATGAACTTGGCTATATCTACAGTACTAATTCTGAGTCTGATAAAACATTGAGTTGCTTTTAAGTGTGTGGTAATCACCTCCAAGAACATGGACGTTACATTTGGTACGACAAATGTAATCATACAACTATATTAGAGGTCTTAGAACATGTTTACACGAAAGGATAACTTGTTCATTAAGGACAGAGAGGAACCTTTGAAGTAAAGTTTGTGTCCTTTGATTATCTTAAGGCAAAACTCAAATTGTGTGCACACAGCTCACAGCCCAGTGATAGAAGTGCTGAAATGAGTACAAGGACACCTGAAAAGAAATGACTTTTTAAAAGAAAAGGTCCCTGGCTCACCTGAAAAGAAACGACTTTTTAAAAGAAAAGGTCCCTGGCTGCTGGATTCTTGTAAATGAAGTCTTTTTCACATTTCATCCTCCTCATTTCTCTTCCGTTTTCATTCAAAATAAAAGAAAATACGAGTCAGATTTTTTTGTCCTGGAATACAAACGTATTGCTGTAACAGGAAATTAATATCAGGTCTAGACAGCAGAGTATGAGCCACAGACCAACTTTAACAGATATCACTTTTCTTCTTATTACAATACATAGAGGGAAACTTTCACAAAACATCCATCCGTCCATTTTCATTTTTATTCTCCAGCAGAATGTATCATTCACTTTGCAGCCACCCTGTCGTCTTCTTGAGCGTTGACAGAGTGCTGAGGCTGGAGGTTTGATGTGAGCGACAGCTAGACAAAATAACTTCACTATAAATCTCTCTCTGGGATGGAGCTCTTGCGTCACACAGTATTGACCTGTCACAGCTGCAGAACCAAGTGAAGCTGCACTAAAGAGACGGATGACGCGGCTGTGGATTTACCTTTTTGACACTAGTGGTCTCTGGGAGTGATGCCATCGTGAAAAGGATGGTTGTTAAGTTTTGTAAACAGATAACCTGGGTCCTTTCTGACCAAGATGATCCATTTTCAGATGGAAATACAAGAAGCTTATTTTACTTTACTTTTCGGTGTCAAATTGAAGAGTAAATAGCGCCACTCTCTGATGCTGCTCATTTAAGAGGACTTTGTGTAGACAAATTGCAGATTTCTCAGTGATGTGAGAAGGAAACAATCCCATAATTCCATGCCACAGCTCAACGTGTGGGCTGTTGATTCCAGCATGCTCCCCAGTCTTAATTTGTTCGTCTGTTTGCACTGGCCAATGTCGAGTTTCCTATTATGCTGGCTCCAGCTGTGTGGGCAGCTCAGCTCATATTTGTGCCTGTTTTGCTGCAGCTTTACATGTAATCAGAGAATGCATTGTACACTAATGGATAGTTATAAAATCTCGGCTACTTCCACAGACTTTCAGTTGTTACATAAACTCACCGATGGACAGTTTGGGTCTTAAAACAAAAACCGTCTTTTGGGCAAACTCACCAGTAGGTGTTCAACCCTGTTCACGGCTGTTGTCTGTTTTCGTGGCTGCCTCCACGTTGTTTCTGTTGTCTGTACTATGACGCCCTCCTTTGCCATAGACTCTGCAGACCATTTGAAATGATTGTCCTATTACACCCAGTTGCCCACTTCCACTGACTTGCAAATGGTTTTGCATTTGACCCATGAAGGAGTCATCACCAGCTCAAGGAGCATCGGCCTCTTCAGTACTAACGGTGAAATTATTGGTCATCTGTAGTTGACTTTTAAACCATCTAAAGATCTTCTGGTTTGATAAGGCATAGCAACAGTCAGTGTAGCTAAATCTAACGTTTGTGATGTCAGTTGGTTTGTTTGTGAAATCCTGATCCAACACTTGACTGTTATCACATTACTCTAAGTGGCTGAACGCAGGCGGGGATCACTGACATACATTCGTGCCATGGAACATTTTTTAAAGCATTTATTTACATTTATGCTCTTCTTTGAATGTTTCTAACATTCACATCAAATCTGAAACTGCTGTCGAGGGTCGACAGAGATTTGCCAGATTTAAAACTCAACTTTTCCTCACTGTTTAAAATGGCTGTGCTGGACTGGACTGTGGAGAATTTAGGAAGCTAGGTTCAGCACAAAGAAAATGATGTATAGAATCTTTTCTTTGACTTGCTGTAACTTCAAATGTTACAAGTGGCAGATTCTGGACTACTGCTTTTAATTAGAGCCTAATTCTCAAATTGTTCACTTGGTAGAGAACTTTTCAGACCTGCATTAATGTTACAACTCCTTTGTTTCCTTTTTGCTCTTTTGAAGACTCACTTCATTTGATTCAGCACACACGATGTGAGTGAAAAGCTTATTGTATGCTTTATTGCCTCATTATATCATCAGTGCCAGTTTCTGGTTTAAAGAGGTTTATTCAATTTTTTGAATGATTTTTGAATGAATAATACAGATGTATTACTTCAGTGAGGCCACAGGGGTCTGGTTGGTTCTGTACTTTTACTGAAATAGAACTCACATTAGCATTTAATTGATTTCACTTTGTTGTTATGTTGGACATGTCGGCTTTAGAGAAAACCTTATTTAAAGTAAAACAAAAGGAACAGTGGAAACGTGTTAATTTGACTTTCTATTACGACAACATAAAACAAGAATGATCTTGTCTCAGTGTCGCCTCAGTGGACACGTGCACTCGTGCAGAACTGAGGCGTTTTCCTGTGGTGTCAGTGGGTATAGATTGTATTCCTCTCTTCACCCTCTTAATGAAGCATAACGAGCTATTACATATCCTTATTTTGCCCCCGAGGTTCATATCGTTATCAATTCACTGGCAGTCGCTCCCTAAAAATAGATCCACTAAATTAAAAAGACCATGACTCAGGAGAGCCTCCATTTCTCAGCTGTGCTCTAAAATGTCACGTCTTTGAAGTTAAATTTCAGTGAAGGTTTGAATGTGGCCACAGTACATGAAGTTTGGAATGAGTTTTACTCTGACTCGTGACCTTGCTTGAACAGATGCTATTTTTAGCACCACTACCTTTACCTAGAACCTATATGAGCCTTGAACGAAAATCAACTCTTGAATGAAAACAGTCTTTTCAGTTACATACATACGTATTCTCCCAGTGTCTCACGATCATGTTCAGGTCTGACTCACATTTAGGTTTAGATCAAGGCTCACATTTCTGAACATACCTGACATTTAAATGGGTTCAGTAATAAATGTATCACTATAACCTTTATCTGCAGTTCCATAATAATACTTCTTGGATGCTCATTCTCACCAACCCTCCTCATTCATTTAGCTCGGGGTGTTTTGGGCATCACAGGGGTTTGGTGACAGAAACATCATCATTTAGATGGATGTATTACTTTCCTAATTAGTATTTCAAAATGATCACGTTAACCGTAGTAAATGTAGTGTGTCTTTACACACACTGTGGAAAGGGTTTAAAGTTTTAACAAAGCACTTTGAGCTCAAAATACCACCTGAATTCCCAGCAAGCAATTGTGGAGTTTTCAACTGAAGGTCAGAGACTTGGCTTGTGTTAGACCAGAAGGTCTCAGCTGTCATGCTGACTGACACAATTGTCAAATGGATTGCAGATGAGTGCAGACAGATGAACTCCCTTATACCAGTCTGTGTTCCATCCAGTATCTTTTCAATTCACTGTTTGTACTGGTTGTGTAGTGACCCCTTGTTGAAGGGACAAGCTGAAAGTGTTTTTTTTTAAGATCACAATTGTTGTTGTTATTTTATAAGTCTTTAATCGACTGTTACTACAACAATTCTTGGTGATTTTTTTTTTTAGATCATTAAAACCTTTTAAGCGGTTTTCTCAGCCCTGCTGACCCTCTCAACGTTACAAGGACTAGAGAAACCAATGACACCCAGAGTCTGATCCAGGTCAACCTTGGGTTTTCATACAGCTGGTTTATTTGCAGTTTTATAACTTAAATCCCCTGCGGCCTGACTATATTACATAAATTTAATTTCCAAGAAAGATATTTGATTCAATTATATTAAATGTCATGCTCCTCCTGAATGGCATTTACAAGCAATTCTCTGCATCAATAACAATGTCAGTTGGCATGAAATGAGAAATGTTTAAGTGAGAGTGTCTGCCTCTCTGGTAAAAGCTCATAATGTCTGTCCCTTCCAATCAATTTTCACTCTCTGCGATTCATGTCCTTTGTCGTTAACACTCTTTTCAATTGTGTATTTTTATAAATAATCTACTTTTCAATTTTTTGATTTTTTTTTCTTATCGCAAAATTAATAATTGAATTCCTTAAGAAGAGGCAAAGAAGCAGGTTGAGACCTGGTGTCAAAACATCTGAGATAATTCTACAAAGACGAAAACACTGTTTCATTACACATCTGATTATTCAATGAAATGAGACCTTGTTCAGTCAGATTTAGGAAAACGGAATAAGAGCTGATCGTGGATGGAAACTCCTGAGAATGTAGAAGTGTAACAATTATAAAACACTGAGCCTTGTTCAAATCAATCAGCATGTTTGTTTTTAAACACAC